TGCTGTGAGGAACAGGACTGGGGGTAGTTATGGGAGAGTCTTTGGGGGGATGGAGGGGGTGCATGGGGAATTGTAGGGAGAGCTGTTGTGCTGGGGGAAGGGGGCAATTTGGTGGCTGTGAGGTGGGGAGTTGCGGGGGGGGGGGTGCAGACTTGTCAGAGTGGACGGAGGCTGAGATGCAGTAGGTTTCTGGCAGTTGCCTGGTGGGGATGGGTGTGTGTTTGGCATCCCAGGAGGGTTGTGGGAGCAAGGACATGTAGCCCTTGGGGTGAGGAGGGAAGGGAGTGGGTAGCCTGGAGGGTGTCTGGTACCCCTGGGAGAAAGGAGGGAACAAAGGTGGGGTGTTGCAGACTTGTCAGAGTGGACGGAGGCTGAGATGCAGTAGGTTTCTGGCAGTTGCCTGGTGGGGATGGGTGTGTGTTTGGCATCCCAGGAGGGTTGTGGGAGCAAGGACATGTAGCCCTTGGGGTGAGGAGGGAAGGGAGTGGGTAGCCTGGAGGGTGTCTGGTACCCCTGGGAGAAAGGAGGGAACAAAGGTGGGGTGTGGGACCAAGGTTTGGGAGGTACAGAGGAGGGAGAATTGAGGCCAGACAGCTGCGGGGGTCTGCCCAAGGGCCAGGGGTGCTAGGTGGGGGGTGTGTGGGGGGGGTGGCAGTTCGGGGCCTGGGGGCAGGGCAGAGTTCAGGGGCGGGGCACCGTGGTGGTGGGGGGTTGGGCTCAGCCCTGAACTGGGCCAGAAAGTGCCTGCCACTGAGTCTGTCTAGGGCTGTCTTCTGTCCAGTGAATAAGGGCTGGGGCCTGGGGGCACTGCTGTGGGCTGGCATGGGGGTATGTATGTGGGTGGCTCCATGGGGGAGTGCTGCAGATTTCCCCCCCCTCACAAATCCTTCCCCGTGACCCTACCCACCTTGTTTATCTCCCTTCCCTGCTGAAGGGGTGGGGCTTGAGCCCTGGAGCCTTGGAGTCCTGGTTTTGCCTGGGTGTGGGGTGGTTTGGAGGGGCAGGGTCTGGCTATGCTTTGGGCTGCTTGGAGGGGAAGCTTTAGCCCCCTGCTGGGAGGGACCCAGCTCCTTCCTGGCACTTCCTGCTGCTGTTGCTGGCTGGGCCAGAGTGGTGCCCTGCTGTACTGGCTGGGTGCACCCAGGGGTGCTGGGGAAGGGGTCCTGAGGCTTTCCTGCAGTCTCTTTGGGCCTGGGGGGTGCTGGCTTTGGAAGGGAAAGGGGGAGCAGGGGGCAGCAGCTCTGGGACGGGGTATAAGCTGCTGGGCCTGGCTGTGTTGCTCTTCCCCCTCTCCCAAGTCAGACTGGGCCACACTGGGAGGGGGTTGCCAGATTGTGAGGGGAGCTGCCCTGACTTTGGGGGGGGGGGGAGGTTCTGGGGTGGTCCCTGGTTGCAGCAGTGAATGGGTGGCTGAGATTTCACCAGCTGAGGAGTTGGTGGCCTGGTGAGGGTCACGTTGTGTGCTAGGATGTGGCCAGCTCTGGGGTGGATCTGTTGGGGAGCATCTAGAATGTGGCTTGATGGGCACATTGTGTGCTGGAGTGCAGCCAGCCATGGGGTGGAGCTGCCTGGGGACATCTGCCTTTGACATGGCTCCAGCACTATCTGTGTGACATGTGGCCAGCTCTGGGGTGGACACCATGTGGAGCTGGGCCGTAAGGGCTGGGCTGGTGCTGGAACCTGGCCAGTCCCCCCACTTCCCCAATCCCTTGCAGGCAGCTTGACCTTGGTGCCTCATTCCCCTCCCTTCCCCAGCCTGCTCCAGGGCCTTGGGCACCTGAAGCCCCACCCACAGGCTGGCATTGGGCAGAGCTGCATGACTCATCCCTCCCCTCTGCTGCAAGCCAGCCTCTCCCTTGCCCCCAGGAGCTGGGCTGGACTCCCCTCACTACCTTCACCCTCTCCAGCTGGCTGCATCCTGGCCCTGTGCTGGGTGTTATACTCAGGCATTCCACACCAAATCTGGCTGCATCCTGGCTGTATCCTGGGCATTATATTTTGCTGTTTCCTACTTGTTCCACCCCAGAGCTGGCTGCATTTTGATGTTGGGCATTATATTTAACCTCACAGCTGGCTGCATCCCAGTAATTGGTATTGTATTCCACTGATCCAGCTCAGAGCTGGCTGCATCTCAGTACTGGGTGTTCTCTTCTGCCTCGGAGCTGCTTGCATTTTGGTGCTGGGCGCTGTGCTTGGCTGTTGCACCCCAGAGCTGGCTGCATCCCTGTTCTGGGTGTTTTGCCCTGCTGTTCTACTCCAGTATTAGCTGTCTTGTGGTGTTAGGTATTATATTTGAAATCGGAGGTGGTTGTATTTTGGTGCTGGGTATTATACTCACTCATACCACCTCAGAGCTGGCTGCATTTCAGTGCTGCGCATTATGTTGGTTTCCAGAGCTGGCTGCATCTCGCTGCTGAGGGTTATATTAGGCCCTTCTACCACAGAGTTAGCTGCATCTCAGTGCTGGGTATTATACCTGGCTGTTTTATAGCTGTTCCACCCCAGAGCTGGATATACCTGTTGAGCTGGCTGCTCGGTGTTATACTCAGCCATACCATGCTAGAGCTGGCTGCACACTAATGCTGGGCATTATACTTGGCTGTTCCACCCCAGAGCTGGCTTCATTTTAGTGCTGGACATTATATCTGGCCTTTCCCCAGCTGTTCCATCCCAGAGGTGGCCACATCTCAATATGGGGGTGTTAGTTAAGCCTCAAAGGAGCTGGATTTGCTTGGAAACTGCCACCTATTAACTCATGATGGGGGCTGGGAGCCTGGATGCCTGGGTTCTCTTCCTTATCTAGGTGGGAAGTCAGGGTTGGGGGCATGGCAGCCTGGACTCCTTGTTTCACTCCCCAGTCTGGGTGGGGGGTGGTTGCTGGGGGAGGGGAGGGGGGTTGGCAGCCTTGATGCTGGGGTTTTCGTCTCCATCTGGGTGGACACGGGTTCTCTTCCTGCTCAGTGTGGGGGACGGGGGGCTGGATGTGTGATGGGGCCTGGGTTCTTTTCCTGCTCTTGGCAGGGGAGATGGCAGCTCAGATGCCTGGGCTGTCTTTCTTGCTCTGGGCAGGGGGGCTGGTAGCCCAGATGCTGGGGTTCCATGCCCAGGGACTGGCACTAAGGACTGTCTCTGCCTGCAGTAGCTGTGCAGTGCCTCCAGCGCCATGGCGCAGGACTGGGTGGACTGCCCTGCTCTGGGGCCTGGTTGGAAGCGGCGCGAAGCCTTCCGCAAGTCAGGTGCCACCTGCGGCCGCACGGACACCTACTACCAGAGGTATGGGTGGGGGGAAACTGGTGGGAGTTCCTCCCATGTGGGGTGCGGTGGGGTCCCCTGCAGTTGTGTCTGGAAGCAAAGATAAGCCCTGCCCCACTGGCAGACTTGTCTTGGTTGGTGTGGATGGGGGAGAGGGCAGCTGGGTCACCTGGGTTCCCTCTCCTTGCTCTGAGAGGGTAGTGGGGCTGAAGGGTTAGAGCAGAGGGGACTGGAGCCTGGACACCTGGGTTCTCTGGGAGGTGAGTCAGGGCTGAGGGGTTATAGTAGAGGGGCTGGGAGCCCAGATGTCTGGGTTCTTTCCCTGCTCTGGGAGAGGGGCAGAGGCTGATGTGTTGGAGTGGGAAGGGTGGAGGGGCTGGGTATTCAGACATTTGAGTGCTTTCCCACTTTGGGAGAGCAGTGAGGGATGTTGTGGGGTTGGGAAAGGCAATGGACCTGGGATGCTTGTGTCTCCTGGTGCTGGGAAGGTACTGGCTTCTGGTGGGTTAGGTGTGGAGAGGGGATGTTGGGAAACTGGATGCCTGGGTTCTTTTCACCCTGTGGCCTGCCCTGCTAGGAGGCATTCCCTTTAGGACTCAGGAGTCCAGCCCAGCTGGGAGCAGGGTACCCTGCAATCTGCTCCTGCCCCTGCCCTGCCCTGCCCTACCCCCCACCTGCCTGGCACCTGGGAGCTTCCTTCTTTTAAAGGCTTCAGCCCCCACCTAGTCCTTAAATGCTGCCCCCAACCCACTGCAGCCCATATGCCTTTCTCTTCTGCCCCAGCCTTTCAAGATAGCCCTAGCTTTTGACCCCCAGCTCTCTGGGGGTCACTACTGTGCTAGTGTGGAGCAAAATCATCCCCCCTATGCCATATTAACCATCAGCTTTAGTGCTGCCCAAGTGGGATAAACTTCTACCTTGTCCCCCACAGACTCCACCCACTTTCCCAGAACCCTGCCTACCTGGTTCTCCCTAGTGAGCCAGCCCTACCACTTCCTGTGCCTTATTGATCAGCAGCTTTAGCATTGCTGGCCCCTATGGCCCTGCCCCTCCTCCCGCAACCCCACCCCCTTGTCTGACCCTGCCCCTCTTCTCTCCCCCCCACAGCCCCACGGGAGCCAAGTTCCGCAGCAAGATTGAGCTGAGCAAGTTTTTGGGGACATCTCAGGACCTCACCCACTTTGACTTCAAGAAGGGCATTATCTGGGAGCCCACACCCCAGGTATCCCAGGGGGGCACTGTTGGGGTGCTTCTACCCCAGCCTGGGGGTGGGTCCAACACCACATTTTTCACTCTGAACTCAGTCTCCCCTCAGGCTGGGGTAGGAGCTGCCTATTGCCCCTATCCTTCCACCAGGAAGGGAGTTGGGGCTGAGGGGTTAGAGCAGGGGGTCAGAGCCAGGCTGTCTGGGTTCTCTCCTAGGCCACAAGAATATGGTGGGGGATAATGGGCTAGAGCAGGGGAGGTTGTAAGCCTGAATGCCTGAGTTCTCTCCCAGATCAAGGAGGAGGAGGGGGTGTCTAGTGGATTAGAATATGGGTGGGGGCCAGGGAGCCCAGACACTTGTGTTCTTTATCTGCCTTGGGAAGGGAGTGGGCAATGGGAAGTTAGAAGAGGGGGCTGGGAGTCAGGATGCCTGGGTTTGCTGGGAGGGGAGTGGGTTGTGGTGAGGGATGTGAGGTGGTGGGTGTGCTGACAGCTTGGACATTTGTGTTCTGTCCCCCAGCTCTGGCAGGGATGGGAGTTGGTGGGTTAGAGTCAGGGGGGCTGAAAGGTCAGACACTTGGGTTTTCTCCCTGCTCTTGGGAGGTAGTGGGGGGGGTGGGGGTGGACTGAATGCACCCTGCAGCCCTCCTTGCCCTTTGTGGGTTCATTTTCCCCCAACTGCTAAATGCTGCCGGCCTCCCCCTCCCCCCCACAACTGCTAACTGCCTTCCCCCTTCTCCCCCCAACACAGGTCCGGAAGGGCACCAAGCGCCACCTGTCCCTGCCGGACACCCCAGAACTCCCAGTCCCAGAGCCCAAGAACCACCCAGATGAGGTGCCCCTTGAACCCAGCCCCCGTGGGCTAGAGCCCCCTGAGCCGCTGCCCCACTTAAAGAAGGAGTCCCCTCCACCAGAGCCCCATGAGGAGCCAGAGCTCCAGCCCCTGCCAGAGCAATGGCCCCTGCCAGAACGCAGGAGCAGGAAGCGCCCACCCGTCTCCCCTGAGCCCTTGGAGCCCCCCCTGGATGGCGTTGTAGCGTGAGTGCAAGGGGGCAGCTGGACACTTGGGTTCTCTGGTAGGGGAGTGGAGGTGGGGCTGTGAGCACAGGTGTCTGCATTCTCTGAGAGGGTAGTGGGGGGCTGGAGGTTAGAGTGGTGGGGAAGGGGGAGCTGGGTGCCTGATGCCTTCTTTGGGAGGGGAGTATGGGCTGCGGAGTTTGAGCAGTGGGGGCTGGGAGCCTGGACTCTTGGATTTTCTCCCTGCTCTGGAAGGGCCATGGAGTCTGGTGGGTTAAAGCAGCGGGGGCTGGGAACCCGAACACCTGGGTTCTCCAGATTTGGGAGGCCTGCTGGGAAGGGGGAGTGGCAGCCCAGCCTCCTCCCCTCCTTGCCTGAGCTGAGATAAGGGGCTGTGCGGGAGGCTTCCTGCTTGGCCAAGGCCAGCTGTCTTGGAGAGGGTGGGGCTGTCTGTCGTCTGTGTCCGTCCATCCGTCCCAGCTGCCAGACTGTTTTCCCTGGTGTGACACTGCCCGCTCAGAGACGCTGCCGCTGGCTCTGCCCCGACTGCCGAGGTGGGTGAGTTGGGGGGGCAGGTGGGGTGGAGCAGCTGGAGACTGGCCGAGTATAACACCATGCTCTGGGCAGCTCATCCAGCATTGGGATGTGGCCAGTTCTTTGGCAGAGCGGCTGAGTATAACAGCACACGTGTGGTGGTGCATTTACCATTATGTTGCATCCAGCTCTGGAGTGAAACAGCTGGGGAACAGCCAAGTATAATACCATGTTTGGGGCAGCTTATCTAGCACCACATTGCAGCCAATTCTGGAGCAAAATGGCTGTTGAAACAACTGAGTGTAACACCATGCCCCAGGCAGCTCATCCAGTGCCAGGATGCAGCTAGTTCTGGGGTGGAACAGACCAGTATAATATCATGCTTGGGACTGCTCACCTAGCACTTGGATGCAGCCAACTCTGGGGTGTTGTTCTCAGCTGTTCCACCATGCTTGGGGCAGCTCTTATAGCACCAGGAAGCAGCCAGTTTTGGGGTGGAACAGCTGAGAACACCATGTTTGAGGCAGCTTCTTCAGCACTGGGCTGTGGCCATCTCTGGAGTGGAATGACTGAGTATAACACCACACTTGAGATGGATCATCTAACACCCCAGAGCTTTCTGCTTCCAGGTACTATACTTAGCTGATCCACCATGCTCAGAATGGCTCTTCCATCACCAGAAAGCAGTCAAGCCTGGGGTAGGACAGCTGAGTATAATACCATGTTCGGAGCAGCTCTTTCAGCTTGAATGTGGCCAGCTTTGGGGTGGAACAGCTGGGGAGCAGGTGAGTATAACACAATGTTTGAGGCAGCTCATTGAGCACTGAGATGTGGTCAGCTCTGGAGTGGGATGGCTGAGTATAACAGAGGAACAACTCTGGGGTGGAGCAATCTCAGCCTGACTTGCACCATGTGGCATTCTACTCAGCTGCTCTTCAGGTGAGATGCTGCTCAGCTGAGGAGCTGGCTGCATCTTGCCTGAACTCCTGGCCTTTGTGGATTTGTGCTCAATTATTCCCCTTTTTGCCCCAGAGCGGCTGCATTTCCAGCTCAGCTTTATCCTTCTGCCCAATGTTGTACTCAGTCACTCCACCCCAGACTGGCTGCATTTTTGAGTCGGATTAATGCCTCAGATAACCTTGTGCAGTGTTATATTCAGCCTTTTCCTAGCTGCTCCACCGCAGAGCTGGCTGCATTTCTAGCCAGGACAATTTTTGCCTGGTGTCATACTGGCACTGTTTAGCTGTTTTGTCTCAGAACTGGCTGCATTTCTGGGTCAGATTAATATTCCGGATAACCCCGGCATGGTATTAAACTCAGCCGTTTCTCAGCTGCTCTTCCTTAGACTGCTTGCTTCAGTGCCAAGGGAACTCTCCCTAGGCAGTGTTCTGTGCAGCTGTTCTTCAGCAGCCCTGCCCAGAGCTGGCTGTATCTCTGGACAGGTTAATCCTGTGTGGTGTTACGCTTGGCCATTCTCTGCCACCTCTCCCCAGAGCAGGCCACATCTCAGCCCCAGTGCCCCCCTCCCTTATGTTGTGTGACTGTTCACCACCTCCCCACACCCCCCCCATAGGTGACTGCATCTCTGGACAGATTAACATCATCTAAGGTTACACTTGGCTGTTCCCTGGCAGCCCATCCCTCTGCACTGGGCCCATCTTGGTCCCATATCTCCCCCCATGTAGTGTGGCCATTCCCAGCCATTTCCCCCCAGAGCTGGCTGCATTGGGTGCCCCGCTCTGCACTGAAATGGTTTCTTTTTCCTTGCAGCCCAGAGAAGGGACTTCAACAGGGAGCAGCGGTTCTTTAAGGTGAGTGCAGGGGAACCTGGACACCAGGGCTATTCAGGATGGGACTAGGGGGTTGGGCAGCAGGAGGTCGGGGGGCCTGGATGCCAGGGTTCTCTTGGCAGGAGCAGGTCTGAATGCTGGGTTCCTGGGGATGGGAGCAGGCTTGTGTTAATGCTCTTGCTCTTGCAGCGGGTGGGATGCGGGCTGTGCCAGGCCTGCCAGATTCCTGAGGACTGTGGGATCTGCACTGCCTGCACGGGGCGGGGCCGTGGCCCTGGCTCTGCCTCAGGCCCTGCCACCCGGCCTGGCCTCAAGTGCCTGCTGCGCCGCTGCCTCAAGATTGTCAAGAAGGTACTGGAGTTCCTCCTAGCAGTGTCCCTCACTCTCGACCTATAGACCCCCTATCCCCCTGCCATGCTGCTCCCTCCCAACCCGCAGTTCTTCCCATCCATAGTGCCCTTGATTCCCGGTCCTTAGTCCCGCCATATTGTGCCCCTCACTCGTGATCTTCAGCCTCTTCCATCACCCCATGGGGCCTCTCACTCCCACCCCATACCCCCATGTGTCCACAGGGCTTTGGCTGTGGTGCATGCCAGGGCTGCCAGAACACAGAGGACTGTGGCACCTGCTACATCTGCCTGCGGCGCCTCAAGCCAGGGCTCAAGCGCCAGTGGAGGTGTCTCCAGCGTCGCTGTCTCAAGAGAAAGGTAATTGGGGGGGGAGGTGCTATGGAGCCTGGATTCCTGGATTCTGCCTTTTTTGTTTTGTGGACTGTTAAAAAATTTGGAATGGAGGTGAGGATCCTTTTGAATTTTAAGTGTGGGTATTCGCATACTTCTGATTGATCTTTGTTATATTTCATGGTCTCCTTAGACATAGTCTGTGGGCCACAGGTTGAAAACCACTACCCTAGGGGTACTGCAGCCAGCAGGTGCCTCTCGGGAGTACTGGAGCCAGTAGGTGCCCCGCTATTGCCCCTCTGGGCATTTGCCTACCCCTAATTGTGCCTCTCCCCTTGCAGAAGTCAGTGGTGGCCAAGAAGGGCAGCTATGGCTCCCGCAAACTGATGGTGGTGAGTGCAGCCGTAGGGGGAAGGCGGCGGGGGCGGGGAACCTAGCTTGATTCCATCCCCCATGTCTAGAAAGGTTAGAGGGGCTAGGAGGCCAAACATCTGGGAGGGGAATGGAACTGGGGTGGGGGTTAGAGCAATAGGGGTTGGGAGTCTGGACACCTGGGTTCTCTGGGGCTGGGGGGTGAGAGCAGCCCAGACACCTGGGTTCTGTGGGCTAGGGGGCAAGAGCAGGGTTTTCTGGAAAGAGCAGTTGGAGGTTTGAAGGGTAGAGCAGGGAGAGCTGGGAGCCCGGGTGCCTAGATTCTCTTCTTGGCTGTGGGGGTGCCCATAGATTAGATGAGGGTAGCACCAGCACTTCATGCCTGGGCACAGTCTACCATGCTGTGCAGGCTCCTGCCTCTGCAGTTCCTTTTGCCTCTGTTTCTTAGTTTCCCCACTCTACTTTTCTACCTCTCTCCCTGCCTTGGGGATCTCTTTGTTTGGCTGCCTATCCGCCCTTCCATCTGTCTGCTCTCACCTCTCTCTGGATGTGCTCTATCTGTTCGCCCCTGCCAGGAGGCCCGGCGCCATAAGAGGCTGCCCCCGGCCACGCCCATCTCCGTGAGTGCCAACTTGGGGTTGGGAGGGCGCAGTGCAATGGCAGCTAAAGGGTTAACCCCAGCCAGGCAGGGGTGTGAGAACAGGGTGCTGGGATCCTGGATGCCTGGGTTCTCTCTGCTCTGGGAAAGGAGCTAGGGCTGAAACCCTATGCCATCCCCTTTGAAGCTGCTTGTCAGGGAGGTACTGGGAGGAGGCTTGGCACTCAGGAGAGGGACCTGGGAGTCTGGGTCCCCCTGGCGGCTCCTCTGTCCCCTCACCTCCCTTCCTCCAATCTCTGCAGAAGTGGAAGCCAGTGCTAGAGAGAGACCCCAGTACCGCTTTTGCAGCGGGGCATATGGTGAGTGACGGGGCCAGATCTCTGAGTTCCAGCACTTGAAGGGATGGGGTGATGGTGGAGCAGACAGGCCTGGGTTCTCTCCTGATTCTGGGAGGCTAATGGGGTCTAGTCAGCTGGAGGGGGCTGTCACCTGGGTTCCAGCCTGGGGCTGGGGGTCCTGGCCTAGACACATGGGTTTATCTTCTCCCCCGAGTGGTGAGTAGGATCTGGTGGGTCAGGGCTGGGAGTCAGGGTGCCTGGATTCTCTGGAAGGGGACTGCAGGCTAGGAGCCCAGATGCCTGGGTTTTATATAGGGTTTGGGAATATCTGCAAGGTGGGGTTAGAGCCTGGGGGAGCTGATGGCCAGGACAGCTGGATTCTGTCCCCAGATGGGGATTCTAGAGGTAGGGGGATGGGAACCCAGATGTCTGGGCTCCTTCCCCATTGTCCCCACCCCAGACCGGGGGGAGTGGGGGGGGCAGCTGGACATCAGGGTACCCTCACACCTTCCTCCCCATCCCCCAGAAGCAGCTCAACAAGGTGAAGGATAAGAAGAAGCTGGGCCGGCCCCCCAAGCACCCCAGCGCCCGGGCCAGTGCGGTGAGTGAGGTCATCTAGATGCCAGGCTTCTCCCCAGCTTGGGCAGGGGTGGGGTCTCGGGGAGTTGCAGCAGGGGCCTGGGTTCCCTGTGGCTAGTGCATCTGTGATCTGGTACCACCGTATCCTGTTTTCTGTGATGTGATCTCCTATTCTATGGGGCCAAGTCAGTCTGCGACGTAACGTGTCTCCAGCCCCATATGAGGTAGCTGAGCCTCTGCCCTGTTGGGGCGGGCAGAGTGGGTGCAGATTCCCTCAGCCCATGAGAGACAGCAGAGGCCCACCCTTCCCTGGTGTAAAGATCTTTCTCTCTCCCCCCAGCAGGGGTCAAATGCATCTGTGGTACAAAGGTTCCCCTTCTGGGGGAGATGTGCCAAATCCCTCCATGGTGGAAGTGGCTCCCTGGGCCAAACCTCTCCTTGGTGTAAGAACTCCCCAGCCTGTAGGAGGCAGGAGGGGCCAGACCTCTTTAGTGTAAAGATATGCTTACTTAGCCCATGATGGCATTAAGGGTCAAACCTCTATGGCAGAAGGGGCCAAAACCTGCACTGGTGTAAGGTGCTTCAGTCCCATGGGAAGTAGCTGGGACAAATGCCTCTGTTGTGGAAGGGGCTTCCTGAGCTGAACCCCTCCCTGCTGAAAAGATCCCCCTTAGCCCATGATGGCAGTGGGAGCCAAACCCTTCCCTGGTGTAAAGAACTGCCTTCCCACCCATAAGAGGCAGGAGGGGGCCTAACCTTTCAGCCGTGTAAGGTGCTGCAGTCTTGTGGGAGGTATTTGGGCCAGAGCCCTCCCTGGAATAAAGGACCCCTTCCCCACCCAGCCAACAAGAAACAGGAAAGGCCAAGTTCCAAAGTGTAAGATGTGGCAACCTCATGAGGCATTGGGGCCAGACCCTCTTGTGTAAACATAATTTTAACTCCATGGTGGCAGTGGGGGCCAAAACCCTTCCTAGTGCAAAGATAC